CCTAAGGTCTCTCATTTGAGATATAACACTATCACACTGGGGGAAAGTTTTGAATGCAATTCTCAAACACTAATATGAGCAATGAAAGAACCAAAATCCCTTTCTTCATAGAGTTACCAGGATAATGGATGACAATTTCCAAAGGGACGAGAGCTATTTAAAAGAGCTATTTAAAGATAAAAAATAATAAATAAACAAAAGGAGGGTAATAGAATAGAGACTACTTTGGCTACCCTAGCCTAGGAGTTTAAGGATGGATTCTCCAAGCGGTAAGAATGGAATTAAACCTGAGTAATTAGAAACACTCAGCCATGAGAAGATGTACGAGGAGAGTGGGCCAGGTGGAGAGAAGAGCAAGTGCAAAGATCCTGTGGGAGAAACAAGCTGGGCATGTGGGAGAAACAACACACACACACACACACACACACACACACAACCAATGTGGCTGAAATAAGCAGGGCAAGGAGAGAATTGTATAAGATTACAGAGGTGTATCAGGTTCTGCTTGTTCACTGCTAGAACCAAGAACCTAGAACCATGCTTGGTATTGAATAAATTTGTCGAATGAATGAATGAAGTTAAAATTTGAGTCAGACAGTCTCAAAAGTTCCTTCAGGGCAGGGACCAGAACATGGAGGGCTTTGCAGGCCAGGGTTCTGGGAGTTTGGATTTTATTCTAATCACCAGGGAAAGTCATTGAAGGCTGTTAAGCATGGGAATTATATGATCCAATGTATGCTTTGAAAACATCATTCTTGCTACTGTGTGGAGAATATACTATAGATATGCTGAATATCTTCCATTGCTCTTGTAGATTTGCTCTACCTTCTCCACCTGTGTCTCAGGAGGCTGACCTATATAGACTCTACCCTCTGGCTTCTAGCTGTGTTCAGCCAGTTGAATTTTCAGCAGGCTATCAGGAGAGAGGCTGTCTTCAAATTGAGTACCCCATCTATATCCTGCTAGGACCGAACTAAGAAAACTAGAGACTGGTTAGGAAGCTCTGTAGTATTCTGAGCAAGAGAGGTTTCTTATTTGTTGCAGAGGTAAAGCTTATTTATTTTGGAGGGACATCTGAAAGTATTTGCTCATGGATTGAGTGTCAGGGAAGAGGTGGTGGGAAAAAGGAAACTCTCAAGACATTTCCTAGGTTTCTGGCTTGGATATGGCACCATCAAATAGATGGGGAAGACTAAGAGGAGAGCAGATTTGGGGCAAGGATAGAAAGGCAAGATCAAAAGTTCCATTTTGGACATATTTAGGTCAAGATGCCTGTTGGCGTTTAAGTGGTCGTGTTGAATAAGCAGAGGGGAGAGGTCAGAGCTTAAGATTGAAATTTTTGACTCACCGGCATAAGCGTTGTTTTTTCCAGACAGTTACAATTTGAACAAAATCACATTAAGTTCATGGAAAATTTTTAATAATTCATAGAATGAAAAGAATTGTGGAGAACACAGTCCCCAAGTTTGGCAAATTTTAGGAATCAGCAATCCACATGGTTAGTTGTGTAATTTATAAAGGAGTCCCAAAGAAGGGCTGAATGGTAAAGGTTAAAACTGATCTGATGATAGAATAACTGGGTGGTTGGAAGGGAGAATTCAACAAAAATAAGGGAAGGCTGAACCTAAGAAGTCATACAAAAGACTATAAAACCAAATTTAAAACCTTAGCTGTCTGTATAACAAGAAGGCATATTTAAAGTAAATGGAACTCTTCGCCACTAATTTAAATCTCCCCCAACCACCAACTTCAATTCCACAAATATTTATTGAGGATTTACATTCGCAAAAGGCACTGTGCTAGGCAGTATGGGTACAAAATGCATTGCAGAAGTAAAATCCTTTGAGACTTTATTGAACTGCTACTAAACGAGAACCTTAATTTTATAAGGTTTGCTTCTGCAATCAATGAAAAGGCCAGGGAGCCATTGAAATGAGCCAGAGAAGCCAAAGGCCTGGCGCACTCACAGCTTGAATCATTAGCTCTGAGGCTCTAGATTTTTCCTCAATTAAGGCTCAACAACATGCTAGACAAGCCCTTGGAAGGAACTGTTTGGATCTGTAATGGGTAACAACTGGCCGCAGACTACCTCCTGCCGTCTACCTCCACACTCAGCTTGGTGGCACAGCCTAGAAGCCGGGTTCAAATGTAGCCTTTTGGCTCTGAGATCAAAGGGTCTAGGGAGAACACATTTCCAGGGCCACCCCAGTGTAGATGAACTTTTGAGAACGCTGGTCCCCAACCTGGATCATCAACCCGCTCCTGCCCATCAGGGATAGTCAGGGAGTGGAGGCAGAGGATTTAACTGCAAAGCACCGCCCCCTCCAGCCTGGGGGTGGGGAGGGGAGGCTGAGACCAGGCTCTGGCTGGCTTGGTGCTTAGGAGGCCTGGGACCCTCAGCAGGAAGCAGCCCCAGAACACCCTCCCGTGGCAAATGGAGAGCAGCTCCTACAGCCACAGGGAAAAGCAGCTGAGCTTGGGCTCGTTCTCCAGCTGGGTCGGCCACTGCCAGCCCGGAGCAGGTGCTCAGTAGGAGCTGGGTGAATGTTGCACAGAATGGAAGTAAACCAGTTCCAGCCCCTGTGTGGCCTTCATTGAGTCACTTCTCCTCTCCAGCCTCAGCTTCTTTATCTGTAAAGTGGGGATAAGATCTTCCTCATTGGATGGTTTCGCCTTTACCATTAGCCTTCTTTTTATTCAGTGGTTAGGTAGTTGAACCTAGCCATAAGACAAGACATTTTTTTTTCCTTTGGGATTCAGTAAGGTTATTTTCAAACCAAACTTAAAATTTTCAGTCCAAATAAAGGTTGCTCGCCACTGGTTTGGTCAGAAGGCTCTAGGGTTAAAAGCCCTAACTAGACAAAGTTCATAGCTTTTTTAACTTCATTATCCAGTAGTTCTGTGACCTCCAGCCACTCACAACTACAAACAAAGGGTAGGTTTGCATGGGCAGGATCCGAAGAATCACTGGTTCTAACAAAGGCTTCCCTGGGTTGTACGCGCCCCTCCATGTTTATTTTATTCCCATTGGAAATGGTGGAGGGGTAGAGAGATGGTTCATTTGGAGAGATGGTTCTCAATCCTGGTTGCACAGAATTACTTGGGAGATTTGTTATTATTTTTTAATTTAAAAATCTGACGCCTGGGACCCACCTTCCAGAGTTTCTTTTTTTTTTTTTTAAGATTTTATTTATCCATTTGAGAGAGAAATTGAGGGCACGAGAAGGGAGAAGGGGCAGAGGCAGAGGGAGAAGCAGGCTCCCCACTGAGCGGGGAGCCCGATGCAGACTCGATCCCAGGACCCCGAGATCATGACCTGAGCCGAAGGCAGACGTTTAACTGACTGAGCCACCCAGGCGACCCCCTCCCAGAGTTTCTGATTTAATGGATCTGAGATGGGATCCATCTAGGCTTCAGTACTTTTGAAAAGCTCCCAAATGATTTTAAAGTGCATCCAGGGTTGGGACCACTAAGAGAGTGTCGGGCCACAGCAGCATTCTGACTACACTCAGTGTATCACCATCCTAACCTTGACCGTGAGCACAAATCCCCCTTGCAGTTCCAAGTACAGCCCTCTAAGCACAGACCTCCCCCCGGCCCCCAAACACACATACACAAGTTCTGAGAGGCCGCTACTGCAGCAGGTGCCACTCCTTCAGCAAAAACTCAGGTTTGTACACCCAGGCTTAACCTCCAGCGAGCCCAAGGGCAGCAGGTGGAAGCGAAAGGACTATTCTGGAAGAAAGCAGAGCACTCCCTAGAATGTTGCCAGTAAAGTATTCCCAGCACAGAGTAGTCATCTGTTGCTGATCTAAAAATGACGGAAGGTTAGATCCGACTAAAGATGACAGAAAACCCAAAGCCACAATGGCTTAAATAAGAGAAAAAAGTATTTCTCGCTTATATAAGCCCAGACCGTCCAGGGTCCGTGTGATGGCTTCACAGTCAGGAAGATAGGCTGCTTCCTTCTCTTTGCCTATCACTGTCCAAGATGGCGGGGGGGGGGGGGGTGGGGGGGATGGGGTGTTTAATTTTTGGGCTCGTGTTCACATTTTAGCCAGCAAGGAGAAAGGGAAGGGGAGAATGTCACCCTCGTTTTAGGGTCATCTCCCTGAAATTACACACCACCCTGCCATGTATATCTCATTGGCCAGCACTGAGTCACAGGGCCAGGTGCACCTTCAGGAAAGATCGACAAATATAGTCTGTATGCTGGGAAGTCGTGTGCCCAACTAGAAATTGAGGGTTCCTTTGCTATTGCAAGGGAGGGGGCTATGGGACAACAGCCAACAGTCTGGGCCTGAGAGCATCCCCCCTTCCCCCTCGTGCAACGGGGCTGTAACTATTAAGTTACATGTCAACAATGTGCTTGACTGGGTTCCCACTGAAAACCACGGACATAAGACTATTTTCCTATATCCCAAATTCCAATGGCTCTAGTTCCCTCCCACTGCCCTGAGAAATCACCAGTCCTACAAGAAAAGTGTTCCAGGGGAGTTCTTCCAGGAAACCAGGCCTTCCATCTAATGTCCCTCCAATAGGGTAGAATGGATGTTTACACTTAGAGAGAAAGGCCTGCCTTCTGTGCAGATTAATTCTTGCAGATTTACACTGATGGCAGGAGCCCTCTCCTGTTCCTTCTGGAAGCTGCACAGATTACTTTCACTGGGTCGTAAATATGTTTAACACCCTATTATACTAACCTTTTAAACCAGTTGTCTTGGGGGGCTGCAAATCATAGTTGAGGAACAACTTTCTATGATTTAAAGGCCCTTGAAATTCCTGGATGCTCTAGTTAAATGCTTGAAATTAAGATTGGAGGGTGTAAATCTTGCTGCAAAATTCATTTCAGGGAAAGAGAGCAAAATCCTTGGGGCCGGTTCTTGGTTTTTCTTCTCCTTCTGTTTTTTCCACTCTTTACTCAGCCAAGACTAAGATAAGGATTGACAGGCAAACATACCACTGTCCTAGGTTAAAATGACTTTCTCTTCCTTCGCCAGTGTTCCCGGACCTGCGGAGGGGGCATCCAGAAGCGTGAAGTTCTTTGCAAACAGCGCATGGCTGACGGCAGCTTCCTGGAGCTTCCTGAGACCTTCTGTTCAGCCTCGAAACTGGCCTCCCAGCAAGCCTGCAAGAAGGATGACTGTCCCAGTGAGTGGCTCCTCTCTGACTGGACGGAGGTATGTATGTTCCTCAGAAGGAGATCCTGAAAGAGACCTAAGGAAGAAAAGAAGGCACCCCAAACTTACACAAACAGAAGATGAGAACAGAACGAAATAATCCTCCTAGTGTCATGGAACAGTATTTTTGTAACCGGTTATACCACAATGCGTGACTTGCTGTTAACTAGGCTGCAGGGACCTGAGGTAAGCAGCCAGCCCTTACTCAACAATCAGAAGCATGGAATTGTAAACAGGGCTCCTCATGAAACAAAATCAGGCTTTGTCTGGCCCCGAATTCTTCTCAGAAGACCCTGTTGTTCTACCTTTATCCCCACAGCCACCTTCCCAACCTCCCGGCACCTCCTCCTCCCAGATGTTTTTAGTCTCTACTCAGGAAGGGCAAAGCCTCTCTGGTTATTCCCTTCCAAGTTACTGGACAGTAAGGAACATGATTTATTAAGAAAAGAAGGCCAGGGAAATCCTGCCTCTTTACTGTCAGTTTCCTGGCTCCAAGACGCTAACAACTTCCCAGCAAGAGAACTTGATTTCCCCTGTTGCTTGCATTTGGGGGGATGATTACATCAGCATCCACCATTCCTGACTTGCCTCATAAGTTAGGGATATACCCCCAACTAACCTACTTTTCTAAATAATTCTACTCGAGCACTAGCATAAATTAAGTCATTTACACCCAGCTTTCACTGGTTTTCAGCCCCTATACTCCTGCTGTGAATTGCCTACAACTCCCCCAGCTTCATAGGCATGTGTGTCTCCCATAAAGAAGTCCCCCCAAAAGTATTGCCTCCTAAGCAGATTTAGCCAAGAACAGAATCGCCAGGCTTGGAGTAAAAATCTTTGTGTCAGAAACAGATTCAAGACCCTGCCCTCTCTTGCACTGAACCATTAGAACGGACCTTGCTGAACCCATTGCCTTCTTGGTATGGTTGTGAGTATATGTGTATGTTGTATATACACAACAGGATGAGGCTGCTATGGGTTGAAACCCAGCCCAGGGACACTTGCTTCCACAGAGGGAAAAGCTGCCCCTGCAAATTAAGATGCCACCTCTTTCAACCTCAGTTCTTAGAATTCTTGCCCCTTATCAACTCATGTAGAGTTCCCTCACATGGTGTCTACTAAGGCATTGCAGGGGTGAGTTAACCTACATCATCATAGGTTTGATAATTTGGCAAGAAAATTGCCTTCTGGTGGTGTCTCACCCCAAGTGTCTCAGAAGAGAAGTAGGTATGATTATTTTTCTCAAACTTTGGAAACAATTTTCTTTCAGCAGGATAAAAGATTAAAGCATGTAAAATCAGTGTGTGTGCGCATGCGCGTGCGCACGTGCGCACATGAACATGTTAGTGCCAGTTTTTCCATGGAATGTTGATTTGGGGTATGGTATTATGTGGGAAAAATCATAACAAAACTAACAGTGCAGGAGAGTGCACTAATGTAGTTGCCAAGTGAGTGGCTCTGGATGAAGACTTCCTCCCAGGGCCATATTGTAAAAGGTGTCCTTCCACTAAGTCTATCAGTGATGGTTGCCATGAGTGAGATGCTGAGGAAGGGGCTTGTGTATTATAATGGTCCTCCCGTGTTCCTGGAGTTTGTGGCCTCTGAGCACATGGGACACAGAGAAATCAGAAAAAATCCTTTTAGGCCTGTAGATTTGAAGCAGGGACCCTTGTGATTAGGCACTAAGAAAAGGAGACTGCTGAACTGAGGTCCTCTGGGGCCCATTAAGTATCACAGACCTTTAGAACAGTGTCATGTGTGCTTAGGAGTTAGACTCACAGGGGCGCCTGGGTGGCTCAGTTGGTTAAGCATCTGATTTTGATTTTGACTCAGATCATGACCTCAGGGTTGTGAGATGGAGCCCCGCATTGAGCTCTGCACTGGGCATGGAATTTGCTTAAGATTCTCTTTCTCCCTCTGCCCCTCCCCCATTGCTTGCACACACACTCTCTCTCTAAAAAAAAAAAAAAAAAAAAAAAAATTACAAAAGTAGTTAGACTCACAGATAGGCAAACTTAGGTTCTAATCCTGACTCTGCCACCCACTGGCTCTATAACCTTGGGCTCATTACTTAAACTTTCTAGGCTTCAGTTTTTGTATCTGAATACTGGAGATAATAATGTCCACTCAATGTGGTTCTTGAGAGGCTTCAGTTAAACGATGCATATAAACTACTCTGTGCCTAGTAAAAGTTAGCCCTCTTATTGTTATGATGCTCTTCCACCCCTGCTCATTGTCAGGAGGAGAGGAAATAAAAGAAAGTGCTTACCTTGACTGGCTGGACTCAGGGTCATGGCCTAGGCTTCCCGCAGGCTTTACCAGTCTTCCCAGGAAGAGGAAATTACACTTTGGGAAATAGGACAACTTAGCCCTTATCCATGGAATGTTCTTAGGTTCTGGGTTATCTCGGTTAATGAATGGAAATTCCAAACATTGGGGAGAGCCTGGGAATGGTAGGAAGTAATCACCTTTTCACTAGGATTCAACTCAAGCTGGTGCCATACAAATGAGCTCTGGAGGGTGTTCGTGGAGGCTCTAGTCGGCCCTGTCATCCCAACAGCCCTTTCCTTGGCCCTCTGACTGAGATGAAACACACATTCCACATCCCCCGCCCCCAAGACTCCCCTTGGAGAAAGGAAGACCTGAATGATCTATGGGTGTTTTTCATCCTCAACTATCTGGGCTCAATCTTACGGTTACTGCACAGAATCCCTCAGAGACAGAATTAAGCCAAAATTTTAGACACTTCAAATAAAATTACTTTCAGATTCTATTCTGAGAATAAGACCCCTTAAAAGTTCTTACTTCTTTAAAAGAACTCCTTCCATCTTTTGAAAGAGTTGGCTATTATGTATTTTTAAATAATATTTTTATGAAAGTCATTTCCCCTAAAAAATATAAAAGAAATGAAGGTCAGAGTAGTCAGTTTTAAAGCTAGAAGGAACTTAGAAGATCCTATAGCCTGGTTGTTCTTTGAAAAATTAAAGCCACAGAACCCTTTTTTTCAAATGAAATGTTACATGAAGCCAAGAATCTGAAATAGATAAAATCAGAGCTGTTTTGGTTGAAGAATGGGTTAGGGTCCCAGATCTCCATAGGCTGGATCTCCAGATCACCTGAAAAGCCCCTGAATCACTTTCTCAACATCGAACAGGGTTTAAAAATCCCTACTCCTGCTTAGTGTTATTTTAGAGATATGGAAATTAAGCCTCCAGAAAGAACTAGACTTGACCAAAACCATAAACCAATCTTCAGACACACAGTCTATTTTTCTGCTTGGCAGCCCTAAACGGACCATGCTTTTAAGTTTTCCAGGCTCTTTGCCTCCATCCCACCTGATCCCGGGACTTGGTGCTGTCATTTACAATAAAACAAGGGTTGGGTGGGGATCTGGAATCCATGATTATCAGGAAACAAAAGCAATGGGTTACTTACCTCCATTTTTTGCATCCAAAATGTCTTTCAGGGTGGCGTATATCAGAGCTTGCATAGAATAGTTCGTTTCAGTGGGTTAGCATATAAAACTTGAAAATATAAGATAATATTTTTTGGTCTTAGTGTCATTTTTCAAGTTAACGTGGCACACTGCCATGACCTCAGTTCAGGTCTTTATCATCTCGAGCCTGGACTACTGTGGCAGCCTCCTTAACTGACATCCCCGCCTGCCATACGTCTCCCTACTCCCTTCCCTCCCGGACACTGTTGCCAGATTAACCCTCTCAAAACACCTCTTTCATCATTTCACTCCTCCCTCCAATGGCTCCTCATTGCCTTGTGGACCAATTCCAAGCCTCCTGTCTGAAAATTAAAAGTCTCCAACGTCTGGCCCCAAACTACCTCTTGAGCTCCTGACATTCTCGACTTGTTCCCGCTGTTCAGTCAAACTGATTTAGCTCTGCCCCCCAGGCCTGACTTGGATTTTTGCACTGAACTCTTTGACCTTCCTTCTGGATATTCCCCTGCCTCCCATGCTTATCCCCGGTTTCTCCACCCATTCAGACTCTACCCATCTTCAAAACCTAGGCCAGGAAATCACTAGCGTACCATCAGCATTCAACCATCATTAGCATTAATCTTATAATACTCCACTTGCCTTGTAGTTTTATATTTCTACTAAATTCTTATATTACTATCTAATTCTTTGAACAGCTTTATTGAGGTATAATTTACATACTATAAAACTCAACTTTGCATTATGTTTTCGAAGTTTATCTGTTTACCACCTATCCAAAAAGAACATTACTTTTATGGTAGAATAATATTCTGTTGTATATAGACCATATTTTTGTTTATCCATCCAGTCAGTGGACATTTGAGTTGTTTCCACTTTTTTGTCTCTGTTGAACATTTGCATATAAGTCTTTGTGTGGATGGATGTTTGCACTTCTCTCAGGTAGATACCTACAAGTGAAATTGCTGGGTTATAAGGCAAATTTATGTTTATCTTTGTAAGAAACCATCAAGCTGTCACCAAGAGGGCTATGCCATTTTATGTTGCCACCAGCGATATAGGAAGGTTCTAATTTTTCACATCTACATTTATAATAACATTTGTTGCTGTCTTTTTTTATTAGGGCCATATTCCAGGGGATAAAAAGTGGTATCTCATTGTGGTTTTGATTTCTGTCTCCCTCATATGGTATTTCAGTTTAACAATGCATTTGGATTTCCCCCACTCATTATGAGATGACAGCTCCTTGAGGTTACAAACCACCTTGCACAAATATTTTTCCATAGTATCTAGCACCCTGCCTCAGATAAAGTAGATGTATGATAATTATCTGATGCTTGACATTAAAGTATTATATTTGTGAAGGAAGGAGGGAAAAATTCACACCAAGTGTCATTGCTGTGTGTGAAGTTTCAAATATATTATCTCACTTAATTCCCAACCTTGCAAACTAAGTGTAAGCAGTGGAAATAGACTCTGAGTTGCCAACTGGTAAAATACTAAGCTGGGATTGGAATGGACTCTATGACTCTGTAACTCTAAAGCCCAGGCCATATAAGTAAAAAACAGGTAGACTGTCTACAGGAAACTTTCGAGTAGAAAAATCTTAGAATGTGGTTACAATATGGACGTGTCTTCCCACCGTGTTACATAACGAATAGTTTTCTCTCTCTCTCTCTCTGTTAGTGACCGTTGCTTTTCCAAGCAACTTTTCTCACATTCTGGTGAGTTTGAGAGTCCATACAAAAAAAACCCAGTAGCCTCTAGTTCCCTGCATTTACATGCACCTGGGCCTTTTCTCCTCACCAGTGTTCCACAAGCTGTGGAGAAGGCACGCAGACTCGAAGTGCCATTTGCCGGAAGGTGCTGAAAACCGGGGTCTCGGCTATCGTCAATTCCTCCCTGTGCCCTCCCCTGCCCTTCTCCTCATCCATCAGGCCCTGCATGCTGGCAACCTGTGCACGTGAGTATGTCGGAGCTCTGGGGATGGGGAGACCGGACCCACCCAGAAGCAGCTGCGGCCACGCAGTAGCCTTCCCTAAACCCAAGACCGGTGGGAGATCATCAGGCAGGAAAGCCCGAGGAGGGCAGCGGGCTGGTGAGCTCAGCTGGAGATGGCAAAGGAATCTTAATTACACGTGGCCAAGCGGAATTCTCTTCTCTGCTGGAAAAACAGTTTGCAGGGGGTAGAGCAAAGTTCACTCTCTGGCATAGAGAGATCTGGAAGCTGGAGTCAGCATATTACTAATGAAGTCTAATGTTGTCCAGTCTGGGGTTTTAAAATGCTCCAAACAGATTTGTTCTGTTTAATATTAATCCCTAGAGGTATAACAGCTCTGGGCTCTCCTCCCCCAGTACACTTGGGCCCTGGTGCTCTGCAGAACCCAAAGGGGAAAGGTGGAAAGGGAGAGATTCTCCTTCCCTTTGTCCTCTGCCTCTTTTTATGATGCTTGCTTTCTTTTTCTTTTTCTTTTTTTTAATCCTTCTAATGAGAGGAACTGCCTTTCCCCTGGCATCCTGCCCCCCCCCCCATCTAGAACCTGCACCTCAGCTTCTAGGGGTAGAAAGCCCCAGCAGGGCGATAGCAAGCTACCCCAGTGCAGGGCATTAGTTGGAGCCTTGCTTTGCAGCGGCTTGATGGTCCACAGCTGGTAGCCACTTCCTCCCGGGAAAGCCTGAGAGGGTAAATGAAAGCTTTGGCCGAAATAAACTCAAGCCGTTTGCATTCCCTCTTCCCTTTCATGTCCCTCCTCTCTCTCTTCGCCCTCTCCGTTCCCTCTCTCTTGTCCCTGTGTTCACTCTCCTTTTCCTCTGCCGTCCCTTCTCTTTCTCCACCTGTCTGGCTTCCCTTGCACTCCCTTCCTTCCAGGGCCCGGGCGGCCATCCACCAAGCACAGCCCTCACATCGAGGCCGCCAGGAAGATCTACATCCAGACCCGGCGGCAGAGGAAGCTGCACTTCGTCGTGGGGGGGTTCGCCTACCTGCTCCCCAAGACGGCAGTGGTGCTGCGCTGCCCCACGCGGCGCTTCCGCAAGCCCCTGATCACCTGGGAGAAGGACGGCCAACACCTCATCAGCTCGGCGCACGTCACCGTGGCCCCTTTTGGCTACCTGAAGATCCACCGCCTCAAGCCCTCCGACGCGGGCATCTACACCTGCTCCGCGGGACCCGCCCGGGAGCAGTTTGTCATTAAGCTCATTGGAGGCAACCGGAAGCTGGTGGCCCGGCCCCTGAGCCTGAGGAGCGAGGAGGAGGCCCTCGCGGTGAGGAAGGCCAGCCCGAAGGAGGCCCTGCAGCCGCACAAACACCAGAACGGCATCTTCTCTAACGGCAGCAAGGCTGAGAAGCGGGGCCCCGCCGCTGACCCGGGCAGCCGCTACGATGACCTTGTCTCCCGGCTGCTGGAGCAGGGGGGCTGGCCCGGGGAGCTCCTCGCCTCGTGGGAGGTGCAGGACTCCACGGAGAGGAACACGTCCTCCGAGGAGGAGCAGAACGCCGAGCAGGCCCTCTGGCACCTGCCTTTCACCATGGTGACTGAGCAGAGGCGCCTGGACGACATCCTCCGGAACCTCTCCCAGCAGCCCGAGGAGCTTCGAGACGTCTACAGCAAGCACCTGGTGGCCCAGCTGGCCCAGGAGATCTTCCGCAGCCACCTGGAGCACCAGGACATGCTGCTCAAGCCGTCTGAGCGGCGGGGACCCCCCGTGGCCATCCCTTCTCATAAGCACGTGTCTGGCTTCAGCAGCTCGCTCCGGACCTCGGCCGCCGGGGAGGCGGGGGGTGGCTCTCGCCGGCCCCACCGCAAGCCCACCATCTTGCGGAAGATCTCAGCTGCCCAGCAGCTCTCCGCCTCCGAGGTGGTCACCCACCTCGGGCAGACTGTGGCCCTGGCCAGTGGGACGCTGAGTGTGCTTCTGCACTGTGAGGCCATAGGCAACCCAAGGCCGACCATCAGCTGGGCCAGGAACGGAGAAGAGGTGCAGTTCAGTGACAGGTGAGCCTTGCTGCTCCCGGGTCTGGGAAGGGCGGGGGGCTAAGGGGCCACGTCTGGCCCGGGGCGCTTGATTCCCTCTTCCTTCGAGGTGGTTCCAAGGGTAGGGCTTGGAGCCCTGGGCCTCCGGGATGGCATCCTGGGTTTCAAGTCCTCTTTTGGTACCAATAGGACTGCTGGAGTAGAGACAAGGTATTTAATTTCTCTAAACGTATGCTGTCCTCTTTATAAGGTAATAGCAACAATGCCTATCCACCCCAATCCCCATAGGGTCCCAAAGATTAATGAGATACTCTCCAGATAGCTTTGAACTTTTGGCAGAAAGCGATCATTCCAGACCAAGGCATTATCACATTACCACTCTGTGAGCTGGACCACTGAAAAGCTTATACATCAGGATATTGTCCGCATGTGTGTGGTCCCCCAGGGCTGGGGAAAGAGGGCAGGCAGCACCTGCCCTGCTGCTCCCTGTGGGTGAGCCCATCCTCTGTCTGGGCCCAAAAATGCTGTTTGTTCCAGAAAGCTTTTATTCCCAGGCAGACCTGTGATTAATTATCCTAATATCTCCTGGTGTCTCTGTTTTGATGTGTCGTTACCAGGATGACAGCATGTATTACTTGCTTCCTTGGGCCACAGCCATCCGTAATGTAAAATCAATAGCGGTGGTAGAAGTTATAATGATAATATTTTTGAACACTGTGTGCCAAGAACTGTGCCATAATTCCTGCCATCCACTCTCTTTCTCACCATCCATCAGTATGGTGGCCCTGACAACAACAATGATAGCTAGCCTTGATCGAGGAGTGACCATCTGCCAGGCAAATATGGTCTTTCTGGGTTTATTTCACCAAATTCTAACAGTAGCCCTGAGAGGTGGGTACAGTTTTTATCCACACTTTGCGGAAGAGGAAACAAAGCCTAGGAACTTGCTAAAGATCTTATTCACTAGGTCACAGAGCCAAGGTAGGTGACAGAAATAGGATGGGCAGTCAATGGAAGAATCCTATACTCTGGGTGACAGAGGGCTCTTTAAGGTCCTCCAGTCCAGGGTCCTCGTTTTAAATTTTTATCTGCTCGGAATCCACGTAGAGTGCTCTTTTCATTGACTAGAATCCTAAATACTATTATTCGGCAATCCTCGTCCCTAGCTTGCTAGTTCTGGGTAAGGAAAGAAAGCAGCCCAGGGTGTATTGTGCCAGGCAGTTTGCCGGGTTTATTTATATGTAACTGCACTTGTTATTCTAACAGTCAGTCCCCAAGATTGACCTTATCCTCCAGGTTCACATAGAAAATCAAGGTTTAGCAGCTCACCCAAGAAGATCACACTTTAGTAAGAGCCAGACCAAGGATTCAATATCAAGTTTATTTGAGCCCAAAGAGAACACAGTTCTGTCGACTCTCCTGAGACTTGGTGAACAAATGTGACTTTGTCCAGCCTGCCCGCATCTTTTGTGCCTTTTGAAATATCAATAATATTGCCACTCAGCCTTAATACTTATAGACCAAATAACTTTAATAACAACAATACTAAGTGTTTTTCCTGTGTCCTCTTACTATATGCCAGACACTGTGATCACTGCTTTAAAGGCATTGTCTTATTTAATCTTCAAAAATAACCTTCGGGGGTAAATACTATGACTGTTAGCACATCAACGATGAGAAGGCTGAGACACAGATGTGGGACCCACACAGAAGCACTGGCGGCAAGTTTTGAATGCAGGATTCATGTGCCAGGCATTTTGAGCGCACGCCTTGAGAACCTCTCCTCTTGTGTGCTCCTTGGTCCTCCCTAGCTCGTACTTTCCTTGATCAGCATAATTGCTATGATTCCTGCAGGTCTTTCTAGAAATCTTTACAACACATTTTGGGGTCAAGCTAAAGTTGGACTAAATCCCCTTGAGGTCACTGAGTCAATGAGAGGTAGCCCCAGAGGGCCCCCCAGAATGTTGGGTGCAGGCTAAGAGTGGTGCCCTTGTGCTTGGGTGGGGTGTGCACTGGAACTCTGTTAGTGCACCTTTCATACCTACTGTGACCAAATCATGTCATCTTCCCCACCAGTCAGTCAGCTTCTCAAGTGTAGGGACCATTTATTCATATTTCCTTTGCCTCGTGCCCGGGATTGCACTCCTGGGATTGAGGGAGTCACAGTTGGCTATGCACAGGAAAAGATGGGAATTAACATTTCTTGACTAACTGTAGACCTAGTGCTCCATGCTAGCAACTTTTTTGTAGCCATCATCTTGGTTAATGACCACAACAGGGTGCAACATGGGAGCTGTTAGCCCTATTTCAGAGATGAGAAAACTGTGGCCCAAAGTAGTTTAGGAGCTTGATGATGTTAGCTAGCTAGCAAAAGGCAGAATCAAGTGGGCAGATTCAAGCCGAGTTCTGCCCAACTCAAACCCATGCTGTTTTGGGTGAATGAGTTAAGTTCATGCTTCCATGCATCTGTACTTCCCTAGGGATGCCAACTTGCCTCAAGACCCTTGCTAAGGCAGGTTGTTGGGAAGGGGGAAAGGGGTCACCAGGACTCTGCTGTGCCTGGAACTTCAGGGAGAACATTTGAGCCCATGGCTTACTCAGAGGTCCTGACCACTTCCTTGAGTGCTGGAGATATTTTGTATGAAGTCCAAGGGTCACAGCCCATCTGGGTCACCTGGTGACTAAAGACAGGATGCAGAAGGAGTCAGATGAGGACTGAGGGCTTCAGGCCGATCTTGTCAGGGCCCTTCACTCTGTATGGCCTTAGTCCCTTCATCATAAAAGCAGAGGGGGTAGGGGAAGTTGTACCAGTTCATCTCGGAGGTCCCGTCTACCTCCTTCACTCCTTTACAAAAGGCCTCAGAAGATAAAAACCCGTATGCTGGTGGGGAGTGGGGAGAGCCTTGAGCCCAGCCACTTCAAACCCTGTTGCATGAGCTGTTTCTGAGTGCTCCACAAAACGGGGTTCACTGAGCGCATGAGTTTGGGACATGTTCACTTAAAGCTGAACATATGTATTTACTGCTGGATTTTACTTCTACTTTCTTTAATATAGTGCTTGATATTTTTTCTCATTTTTATTATAAAAGCAATAAAGGGACTATAAAACAATGCAAATAATACCTAAATCTATAAAGTACAAATGCAAGTCTCCCTCATCCTCCCACATCTATTCCCCAGAGTCTGTCTCTCTTAATAATTTGGTATACATCCCTTTGGAATTTTTATATATTTTATTGTATTATATATAAAACATATGCACACATATGATTTGGTTTTTTAATGGTATATTACTCACGTTTAGAAATTTCACGTGGTTTCTACTCAACAACATGTCCAGGAGACATTTCATTATAATATGTAGAGATCTGCATCGCCATTTTTAATGGCTGATTACTGTTCCTAAGCATATTTAACTATCCCCCAATTGAAAATTATTTTGGTTTTTCCATTTTTTTAAACTCCTTTAAGCATTCCAACATGTGTTGTGGCTTTCCAAGTGAACAATATAGGATGCATTATTTTCCAAGTAGTTCTTTGATCAATGAACAATTTTTTGCCTTTGTCATCTCAGGGATACCAAGAGTTCTTGAAATACCACTTAGGAGATACTACTTTCACCTTTTAATTTTTACCTCCTTGGGTACTGAGAGTCTAGCCCTAATGTCTTTAAGATAAAGAGGGTTCCATGGAATCTTGCTAGAAAAAGACACATGGCAGCCAGGTGATAAAGATACTAAAGGTGCTAGACTAGGACAGCAGAGGGCCAATCCTGGCTCTTCAGTCACCAGGACATTGGTGGGAGTGTGGGTGAGGAGTAGCATTAAGAGGGAAAGAGCACATGAAGGGCACGGGCAAACAGCTTTACAGTTTTTGCCACTCTCGAGATTTTTCTAGATCTAGCCTTGACACAGCTTTCCGATGCAAGTCAATGGCACACAGTAAGGAAAAGTAAGAGCTTTTGGGTACTGATCTCCGACAGCATAATTTCTCCATTTAACTTAGCTGGCCAAAAAGAAATATGACTGGAGCTTCATTTTCAATAGGGTTTTCCAAGTCCTGTTTGAGAAAAGAAAGTGAATATATCTTCACAGAGCTGCCATTGGGACTGCTTTGCTATGGGCTGTTGGTGACCTCTCTGTGTTGGGTTTCATTGCTTGTCATCATTCCTGTGTCCGGTAGCAGTTCAGAAATGCTCATCTATTTTCACACAGAGACGTGCTGAAATGCCCAGTGTTATAGTTCAGTTAGTCTGTTTTTGCTTAGTACCAAATCCATCTTTCTGAAAGGATCTGCAAGATTCAGCTGGCTATTGGTCTGTAGGACGTTGCAGTGTATTCAAGTATACCCTTTGTAGCCTGTGCCAGAAAGATAGGTCAAGAGAGGAAGAAAGTAACTAAGGAAAGGTCTACTACATCTTTGGCTTTTAAATATGCCAAAGTTTTATCTGAAAGAAATTGTTTATATGAAAGAATCACTATCAAGTCAGTTACTACTGTATCTCCTCATACACATAATTTACTAGTTGAATTCACATGATTCTTAGAAGCACATGCCAACTTCTCAAGCAATAGTTTACGGGACGTTTCTTTAATGTATTAGGACAGACTGGTTCATCATAATCGCTGCTTCTCCTTTATTTCACAAACATTCCCATGCATCCTCGGAGCCAGATCCTGCGTTAGATACGGAGGTGGGGGAGGAAAGGAAGGTTCATTCCCTGTCAGTGAAACCCAAAGTCTCGTTTGGAAGCCAGAGAAGTAAGTGCAGTGTAGAAGTGCTAAAAGATCAGTATGGATATTTATTCATCCCGTAAGAATTTATTAGCCTATCTATTATATGCCCCCCCACACACACACACACCACTAGTCACTGGGAATATTGTAAATGAAAAAGAAGTCTGCGTTTCCTTGCAGTTTAGATACATTTAGATTTCTGCTCAAATTTCTGCATCAGAAAGGCTTTCCTTGGTCACTATCTAAAAGAGCAGTCCTTTTTTTTTTTTTTTTAAAGATTTTATT